TCTGTCGTTGTCTTAGTTACATAGTGCTGCTATAACAGAAATACCACAAGTGGATGGCTTTAACAAACAAATTTTCTCACAGTCTGGTAGGCTAGAAGTCCAAATTCAGGGCGCCAGCTTCAGAGCAAGGCTTTCTCTTTCTGTTGGCTCTGGAGGAAAGCCCTTGTCATCCTCCGTCCCCTGGACTAGGTGTGTCTCAGTGCAGAGACCTTGGGTCCAAAGGACAAGTGCCCCTGGCTATACTTTCTTGGTAGTATGAGATCCCCATCTCTCTCTCTTTGCTTCTCTCTTTTATATCTCAAAAGAGATTGGTTTAAAACACAGTCTAATCTTGTAGCTTGAGTCCTACCTCATTAACATAACTGCTACTAATCCCATGTGATTGACATCCTAGAGATAGGATTTACAACACACAGGAAAATCACATCTGGTGACAAAATGGTGAACAGTCACACAGTACTGGGAATCATGGCCTGACCAAATTCGATAGATATTTTGCTGGGGAATTCAATTCGTGACAGTCCTGTAGGGTTGCTGAGTCAGAATCGACTTGATGGCAACAGGTGTTTTTTTTTTTTTTTTTTCCCCTGTTATAGCCATTAAAAGGAGCCCTTGTGGTGCAGTGGTTAAATGCTTGGCTGCTGACCAAAAAGGTCTGCAGTTCAACCCACCAGCTACTCCGTGGGAGAAAGATGTGGCAGTCTGCTTCTGTGAAGATTACAACCTTGAAAACCCTGTGAGACAGTTCTCCTGTGTCCTAAGGGGTTGCTATGAGTTGGAATCAACTCAGTGGCAGTGGGTTTGGGTTTTTTTTTGGTGGGGCGGGGGGGTGGCATTTATAGCCATTAAACAGAAAAGATTTATCTGGCTGAGGCTGCACCCTCTTAAGACAGTTTTAATTGCTAACAAGACAAATAATCTGGACTCTGCCTTTTTCTTTACCTTAGTTTAAGATAGAAAAGTATATTTTGAAAGAAATTATTTGAAGTGCATGAGTTTCGTATTTTCCCTTCAGTGCTATAAAGTTTTAGTTTTTTGTGGGTTGGTTAATTACTTATTTGTATGTTGTGGCATATGGAAGAAAGAATAAGAAGCTAGATGACCTGGTTCAAATTGTTAGTTTATCACTTAGTAGTTCTTTGTTTTGTAAGTTCATTTATTCCTTCATTCCTTCACTTCGTTCACCTTATGATGCCATTAAGCAAATTATTATAAAGTCCTTCTGATGAATGGGCCCTCTGATAGGTATGGGGGACATAGTGCTGAAACAAGAGCAACACGGCATTTTTATCCATTAGCCATGATAGGCATAGTGCCTAGAGCCTATCAGTTTTTCAGAGTTCTACAAAAATGCTTGAGGCCTGAAAATAATTAGTAGGCTTCAAATTAAAACAAATTGCAAAGTAGAAATTTTACCAGTTTTCAATTAAATATAGCATGAATTGAAAGCAAACGTATGTACAACAGGAAATGTTGTCGTATGGGTATTTTCAAGTTTAGGTTATAGAATTGTCAGTGTGGTATAATCACAACTAAGTTGAAAATAAAGTGAGAACTCTGGACTTTGTAGACAAAGGAATGGAAGAAAAAACAGCGAACGTTTAAAGTGATTTTGTTTTACTTTTTTACTGTATTTTTTTCTCTCCTGATTTGTAAATCTATTTTTTTGTTTCCTAATCAGAAAAAATGGCGTTAACAATGGAAGAGATACATCATAAATTTTATTAAAAGTACCTTATTTCATTTTTATTTTAAAAAAAGTAACTCTGTATTTAAAGAAAACTCAGATGTGTATAAATTAAAAAGGGTAATGCTCCTGTTCCCAGATTATTTCCAGTGTGATAAAAATATTTTTTGTATCTTTTTCTGTGCCTCATACAAATGATTTTTAAAAGCAGTGAGAGGAATTAAATTCTTTCTTTGCCTTTTTTCTGTCAGTTCTATTGTAAACATTCTTTCATGCAAATCTACTACTTTCTTCTTAGTTGTATTGTGTTCCTTGGATTCAGTAAACTATAATTCATGCAACTTCCACTTAAAAATAATTAGGTTGTCTTTAATTTTTTGCTGTTACACATAATACCACAGAGTATCGATGTGTACATATATCCTTGCACATTTGTGCAGATATTTCTGTTTAGTTTGCTGGAAATGGATTTGCATGTTTAAAATTACAATATGTGTTACCAGTTGGTCCCCAGCAAGATCATACATGTCCACAATACTGTATCTGCAATTCTGAGGACCAAAAAGCTTTGAAAACCAATGTTTTTTCCTGTTTCATTTAGTGGGTTGCTCTGACCTGAGCCTATTTGATGGCAGAGCCTGACCTGAACTCATTTTGTGGTCATTTAAAGCCTTTATTTTTTTCCCTACATAGTATTAACGGTCATTTTAGTGTAGAAATATTAACGTGATTGATTGTGGGGTGCTACCCCAGATCCCTTCGGAGATACAAGTAAGATTTTTTAAACTTGGAGAAAATCTGAATTTTAAAACATTGGGCAGCCAGCCATTGAGGAGATCTGCATTCTGGGCTTGACTCTTGTCATTCAGTATTTGGAAAGGCATTTCACTGCCGTGGGCCCCACTTTCCAAAGGAAATGGCCTATTGGATCTCTGAGGTCTGTTGTTAGCTCTAGCATTCTGTGATTTTCTAATTATCCAGCTCCTGGCTTCTCCTCCCAATTGGTCACAGCTACTTTTTGGCCATTCTTCTATGTGCTGGCACTTCTTTTTTAATGAGGGTAGGCAGAAATCAAGAGAAAACTGTACCATATCTACCCCCGTGTCCACAGCTTTGGTTAGAGCTTTGTGTAGGCAAGAGAGAAAAAAATTAATGGTTAAAATGAGAACTTTATCCCTCTTCCTTCCCCCTGAATTCCATGTAGCCACTGATCTTTTTAAGGGATGAGGTGGAGCACAGGACATTTTTATGGTAGTGAAACCATTCTGTATGGTACTGCAAAGGTGGACACACGACATGCATTTGTCAAAACCCATAGGACTGTACAACAGAAAGAGCGAACCTTAATATAAACTGTGAACTTCATTTAAAAATAATGGATCAACATTGGTTCATAAATTGTAACAAATGATGCCACACTAATGTAAGGTATTAATAATAGAGGAAACTGGCGGGGGGAAGAAGGCACGTATAGGAACTCTTTGTACTTTCTGTGTAATTTTTCTGTAAACCTAAAATAGCTCTAAAAAATAAAGCATATTAAAGTTAACACACACACACACACACACACACACACACACACACAGAAATTTTGAATGAGGGAATTTTTACCTGGTCCTGCTTAACATTTTGAGTAGTTTACAAATGTGAAAGTATTTTCTTAATGGTAAAATTATGAACTTGTTACTTTCCAGGAAATCAATCAACCAATCTATTTGAAAATTTTCTTTATGAATACAGAAGATTGTATTTTGGCAAGTTAGACAAAAATCTCAAGTAAAGATTTTCCTTGAAAATATCTTAGGAGCAGGTGGTCCAACATGAAGTCCTAACAGCCAGTTTTTCTCCTGGCACTGGAATAAATCACCATATTTTATACCTAGTGTACTTGTGTTTAGGGGACGTATTATAGTACAACAGCAGCAAAGTATCTTCACATTTGAGAATTATACTCAATGTAGAAAGGTGCTTATAATAAGAGTGACGTGGAAAATGAGACTTACTGAGGGAGCCCTGGTGGCCTAGTGGTTATGGCTGCTAACCAAGAGGTTGGCAGTTCGAATCCACCAGCTGCTCCTTGGAAACCCTGTTGGGGCAGTTCTGCTCTGTTCTGTAGGGTTGCTGTGAGTTGGAATCGACTCGACGGCAATGGGTTTGGTTTTGGTGGAGGGAACATCAGCTTTGTATAGCCTTCACCATTTAAATTACTATTGGTTGAGGGTATATGTATTTGAAGTTTGCGTTGATTTAAATGTCAATAAAGCATGAGTCCATTGGTTTATTATTTTGTAGTTTTCCCCTCTTGATCATAATATAAAAATACAACTCTATAATTACTGATTTAATCACAATCCCACACATATATTTAGATTTTTGCATGGGTAAATATACCTCTAGAACAGAGATAGGCAAAATTTTACTGGAAAACAGCTAGATAGTGTAAATATTTTAGGCTTTGCAGGCCATATGGTCTCTGTCTCAACTACTTAACTCTGCTGTAACATGAAAGCAGCTATAAATAATAAAGTGATTGCCCTATCAGACTTAATTTACTAAAACTATGCAATGAGCTGCCATCTGCTCCGGAGGATTTCCTCTGTTGGTTAATGAAATGGGGAGGAGGGGGGACTTGTGAAGACTTTCTTCTGCACATAATTGTGATTTTTGTCTAGTCAGTGTGGTCCTTTGTGATAGCTTATCGTGGGAGTCCTTGGGTGGTGCAAACGTTTAACGTTGCTAGTTGAAAGGTTGGAGGTTTACATCCATCCAGCAGCATCTCAGAAGAAAGGCCTGGCAGTCTGCTTCTGAAAAATCAACCATTGAAAGCCTTATGGAGCACAGTTCTACTCTGACACACACGGGGCTGCCATGAGTTGGAGCTGACTCAATGGCAACTGGTTTGATTTTTTTTTTTTTTTTTTTAAACCTTGGGATAGGATTTGAGTATCTTTTAGAATTCTGTTAGGGCACTGATAGATCCCAGTCTTTTCTCTTTTTACTGTACAGGGTAAATGTTTTGAGCTTTTGGACTCTCGATTTCTGGATATAAAATGTAATTACCATAGTTATATGTTAAGTTACTAAAAATAAAAAAAACTTAGTTAAGTTACTTTATTTCTTTTGATTCATTTATCAAAGGCTTGTAACAAAATAGAAGAATGAAGGTAAATCTTGTAAGCTATGACCAGTCATTGTCCACTGTTGAGCATAATTCAGCATAATTTAATTTATTAAACAGTTTTGTTTTAAATGAAGTAAAGCATGTGATTATACATTTCACAATGCTAAAATTTTTTATTTAAAAATCTTTCAGACACGAAGAAGAGCATCGTCGGCGTGAAGAAGAAATGATAAGACACCGAGAACAGGAAGAACTTAGGCGACAGCAAGAGGGCTTTAAGCCAAACTATATGGAAAATGTAAGTAAAATACTAGTTCATTACAGTGATGCTTAGAATACTTTAGGGCTTGATTTATATAGTTGGTATATTTTCTAATCTTTCTGAATTTGTAATGTGTTTATTAAACTGGTGATTTCTTAACTTTTTAACAGGTCATAAATTAAAATCAGTTTCTGAAGATAATGTTTTAGGAAATGGACGTTATATTTTTCTCCGTTATTTTACATGTTCTGGTATGTGCTACTAGAGCAACACTCTTGATAAATACATTGTCTGCACTTGAATTTTACAATTTGCTGGTATTAAAAAGTCTTTATTTTGGAAGATTTCATACATACCCAAAACGGCATGTGCTCATAACCCAACCGTAGTAGTTATCAACACATGGCTAATGTTTTTTTACCCACTTCCTCTCCCAAATTACTATTTTTTTCCAAATTTATTTTACATGAAATTCCTGAATCACATAATTTCATTCATGAATATTTCAGTATGTATTTCTTAAAAGATTATAACTTTAAAAAAAAATACTTTATCATATCTTAAAAATAACCAATTCTGTAGTATTAACTGGTCAAAGCACAGATTTGCCCAGTTCTTGTAAATATTTTTTTACACTGCTTTCTTTGAATTGACTGTTATCACCAGTCTAGGTTTTCCCTCCTCCTTTTTTTTCCCCCATATTGTTTTATTTTTTCCTTAAGAAACACAGTCTTGTAGTGTAGAATATCTCACATTCTGGATTTTGCTAATTATATCCCTGTGGCGATGCTTAACATTTTCCTTTATCCCTTTATTTTCTGCATAGCGGAGTTAGAGCTAAAGGCTTGATCTGATTCAGGTTTTTGTTTTTTTGGGGGGATGGGGAGTCAGGGTAGTTAGCCAAACAACAACACTTCAAATATATTAAAATTCTTAAGTGCTTAATGATAACTAAAAAAAAAAAAAAAGTCACATTGTTCACTTTGGGAGAATGCCAACTTAACAACTCATTATTCTGAAAAAATATTTTTCTTTACCTGTTCAAAAGCCATGACTCTTTAAAAAAGTTGCACAAATTTTCTGAGGCTAAAAGTATTCAGATCATTGATACTTTGTCTCCTGACCTTCTCTGTTCCTAGGAAATTTTAAAACCTTTTTTAATTAAAAAGAATATACACACACAGAATAGAATAAATCCTAACTTGCTTAGCAACAAGAATTTTTTATCATATCTTCCATCAAGTAAATATTATTTGTATGAAATTTACGTGACATTTAAATTCAGTTAGAAAAGGTTTATTATTTGTAAATTATTTTAGAGGTTTAATTTGCTTTTAAAATTCCATGACCAAATTTGTTTTTTGAAGCGTCGTAATTTTTTTGAGTAATTTCTAGTATCATTTTGCAATTTTTGTTTTTTCCTTAGTTGAATAGCAGTTGCTTAGTGACATATTTCAAACTGCAGTCTTAAGTTTTCTGGTTGTTACATTTGAACATAAATCTCTATTGGAATTATCAGTGTGAGAATATTTTATTATGACTGTTAAAAAACCAAAGCACAGAGAAAGTAAAACAATTTATTTGAGCACTTATTCTGTATGCATATAGGGGAACCATTCTAATTCTAAAAAAACCAAATGGCTCAACAGTAGCCTAGTTGTAATGAAGCTTACAAAGAAAAGAGGAGGGAGAAGAATAGAAAATCAAGGATTGGTTAATCTTCACATGATTGGTTGAACCCTGCCTTTCCCACCCCCCACCCCCCACCCCCCCATTGAGATCAGCTGACATCAGGCTAGGTGGTCTCTCTGGCCCCCTCCTTCCCCAGTTCATTTGTACTAATCTTCCCCAGTTCATTTGTAGTGTGGAGGTTCTTAAAATGATAAAAGGAACCTCATCTTTCAGGAAGCAAGGAAAATTACCTAAAGTTACATTTTTTGCATTAGATAAACTCTGAGCTAGTTTATGGTCAACAAAATGTCTTTGTCACAAAAGGGTTTGCAATGGTTTAATCACCCTTGTTTATAAGGAAACTGAGCTCAGTTTCCTTATTAACACTCCTTAAGGCTGGGGAAAAAATACTTCAAAGAAGTTTAGCAGTTCCTGGTGGAAAAAAGCCCATGTTAATAATTTTACAGTTTTTTGGGGGTTAGGCTTTTATTGTTAATTTTGGGCACGTGTGTAAGAGAAACCCCTTGAAATCGAAGGAGGATGTCTATTTTTAATTTTATTTCACATGATTTATAAAAGAAAGTGGAATTAAAAAAAATTTTTTTTCAAGCCCATATTTGGAGAAACAGTATTTTTATTATCAGATATAATCAGATGTAAGCCATATGTGATATATTTCTTAGGGAAACCCTTTCTTTCCATTGAGGACTAGGAAATTCTACCTAGTCGTTTATTTACCTGAAAATTTCCTTTACTGAAGTGCTTGCTTACAGTAAATCAATGGAATTGCTTTTTAAGTATTTTTTCTTGCATAAATTTTACATATTTGAAGTGGATATGTAACTACTTATAGCAGATCATGTACATTAAAATCATTTTGATGACTAGAAACTAATGGTTAAGTAAGGTGTATATTCTACTGTTAAACTTGATTGAGTTGGCCATATAAACACGATGGCAGCTCTGTTCTTTGAAATCATTTCACAAATTTATTACCAGTGGTTTTCATCTGTTTAGTAGCATTTCATAAAGTATGCCTGTTAACTAAGGACAGGTAGTTTTAATTTAACTTTGCTATTAAAAAATAATATCTGGAAACATTGCTACAACATAAAATAGAATCACTACAACTTCTTACTAATTTAACAACATTTGTGTGCTTAAAACTCATTTTAATGGCAATGTAAATTTTACAAATACCCAATGAGCTTTTAATAGGTAAATTAGATATTTAAAAATATTCATACTGGATTTATTGGCATTTCAAAAATATATCATTTATTGTTTTCCAAGATTATGCTCTTAGAAAGAATTAGGTTATTATGTACGTAAATAATAAGATAACCTGGTTTTCAAGTTGTTACTTAAAATACGTGTTACATATGTGAAGCATCATAGAAAGATTAATTTGAGTAGAGCCGTGGTCTGTAAACACTAGCCAGGGCTTATGACCTGGTCTGTTTTTGTATTGCCCTGACACAGAGCCAGGATGTTGTTTATATTTTTTAAAGGGTAGATAAAAAAAATAAAGAAGAATATTAGAGACTATTTTGGACCGACCAGACTTAAAATATTTACTTTCTCTTTTTATCGAAAAAGTTTGCTGAACTAAGCTAGAATATTCATGATTTTTTGGTTAATACTTAACGTTAGATAAGTCACAGAGTTATTGTGTTCTAAATTTTCTGAAGAACATTTATATTTAAAATACTATGTAAATGATCTATAATTGTGTAACAGTGGAATTAAATAGGGAGAAGTGTAGTCATCTTCCTATTTTTATTTATTTATTTTTTAAGATTAGAAAGTAATGAATTGACACAGGTTTTTCATTGTTTTGGTGTCAGTTTTATTTGGTTCCTAGATTCAGAATACTTGTTAATATAAACTAATCAAGTTTATACTACAAGAAGTACTAACAAAAGCTCTTTTCAGCTCTTGACTATTTTGTGTTAATTGGAAAACCATCAGAGGCAATTGTTTATCAGTTACTCTTCATTTGCTTTGAAAACTCTTTGGAAAAATTTGTTAAATAATTTTAATGTTTGTTTTTGTTTTTAAAAGCTTTGAAATTAGGCTTTCTTTTGTGCATTCTCTTTTTCACTGTTCAGTTTAAAGGGAGGAATCAAATGGTAAGTGTTCAGCTTGCCCAAGAACAATTCAAAACTAAAGTAGATTTTCTTGGTTTATTTTAAGATGATACTTCTCATTTTTTCTATTATTCCTATTAGAAATATTCCAGTGCAGCTGAATATGGGGTTTGAAGTATAAAATAACTTAATCTAAATATTTCGTGCCTTGAATAATGATTTTTTTTTAATGTAACTAAGGATGCGGGAAAACATTATTTTTCTTTACCAGCCTTCTTTAACTTGATCCTGGTTTTATGACATACATGTGAATATATTTTAAAGAGTTTTAAGGTCATAAGTGAGATAAGTTGTCATTTTTACTTTATACCTATTTTTTCTTAGAGGACGTTGGAACTTTCTCTCTTTGATAATAGCTGTTATAACTTAAACGCATTATTTTTCACTCCTGCAAAATACACTTTTGACTGTCTTAAACAATGTGTACATGTTTATACTATGTCTTAGTTGTATTTATCTTTATCATACTGTATAGAGTGTTTTTGAGGTAGTAATTACTAGTTTGCAATTTTATGTTCATCACTATTTTATAACTTTTGTATGTATCACAAGAGGTTATTCTGGAAATAGAATTTTATGAGATTGTCTTTTGTGATTGTCTTGATTGTTTTCTTATTAGGTTGCTGTACTTACTGTAGATTAAGTTGTTTAAACACTGAAGTATTGCAGTGTGCCACTCCTTATTTGTGGAAATAGTTTAGGGTGGAGTAAAAGGTAGATTTCACTCAGAATAATTTTGTTGATGCAGTTTCTTTGTATAAACTATTCTTTCTTGGGGAAATGTTTATGTTGCAAAAATATCCAAATATCAAATTTATTCCAGCTTTAATAGTTGTATGATGTAGTTATAAAGTATTTTGTTATGAAGATTGGGACAGTGTTTAGATTGGATGCTACTTAGTTTTAAAACCTAAGGTATTTATCTGTAGTGGTAAATATTAATGTTTGAATAGCCCGTCAGATCTGTTTTAAATATACTGCATTAAAGTAAATCTGTACATGATTTGGTATTAAAGAGTTTTTTAGTTCTGTTCGAGTAGGTAGGAATAGCCTGCATTTTTGAACACATGTAGCATAATAAACTTGAGATTAAGGGTTTGTTACATGGTAAGGTGACAGTTTGACCCAGTTGTATCCCACTGTCAGAAGTGTTCAAGTATACTCCTTGAGAATATAAAATAGTGAAGCCAACAGCTTGAAAGATAATATAGCCAG